CTGGAGCGTAATGGAAGCGCGATACATAAAGTCGAAAGGGTCTTTCACCGTCTTGAAGTCGAACTGACTCAAGAGCTTAGCGAGTGTGATTTTCACCTCCGGCCGGCATGGAACGTGGGTGACAAAGGCTGTTGGAATGATTTGGTATTATAGAGAGTACGCCGTGTGTCGAGACAACGATAGGACCAATCGCGTAAACACTGCAAATGCATGATAAAGATTACAGGACGAGGGAAATTTTGGGTCGGCTGTCACGTGATCGAAAACCAGCGATCAGTTGGAATTTGTTCACTTTCACTTTTAGCGTCTACAATACAATGATTCCCTGTGACGATATGCCGTTGCTATCGGACATATTGGACGGTCTCTTCGATGACCATGGTGCCGTCATTGATACAGACTATATTGGCACTGAGAAAGAATGCAGAGTTCCTGCGACGTCGCGAAACGAAATAAATCGGAAGAAACGTCGCTGCGCGAAGACAAGCAAGCTGCCATATTCGACAGATCTCCAACGTCGACGGAAAGCGGAGTTAAAGGAACTGAGGATACAAGTACAACGGCTGAGTGCCCAACTTGAGTACATATCTCTTTCAGGTAGCAGACATACCCACAAAGAGACCAGGCAGTCAAATCTCTAGGGAAGCACAACGAACTGCAAAGCAATATAGCAATTGCGAACTGGGAGGAGCGAAGCCGCGCGGTTCGCACGAATATAGCAATTGCGAACTGGGAGGAGCGAAGCCGCGCGGTTCGCACGAATCAAGACTTGAAAAGGATACCTGCAGAGCAAGCCAAGCTTTTTAATTCTATGCACGAGGTTCTTAGACACGATGACGTGGTCGAGGTGAGCTAATTGTTGCTCTGTTTCCGACAGTAGTCCAAACCTCATTTACTGATGATTTTTCGATTCTACGTTTTAGGGAATGAAGTTTATTATACAGTCACAACCGACAGTAACTCGGCCGTTCTTCCAGATCGACACAAGCGAGCCGATTTTAGCAGAACTATCAAGCAGTTTGGCTTGGATGCAACTTCAAACGGGCTCGATAGTGCCGATTCTAGGCGAAAACCCCTCAGTCACATTCTCCACTCAAGGAAAAAATAATGAACACGACGAAACACGCATTGAAATCACTGCGACTACACCTCTCGCATGCACGGTTCGTGAAGCCGAGCCGATCCTGTGGCACTACCTCACCAACGAGGACACCTCGAACTCTTTCGGCTTTGTACGTGTGTGCTTGAAGAGGTGTATTGTGGGCTGGGAACTAACTCTTTATCTTGGGCATCTTGAAGAGTCAACTACAGAGCTTAAAAGACAGTCACACCACCTACAACTGACGTTGCATAGCGCATCTTTTCATCCATAATGCCAAGTTGGATGTCCCTCGATACGTCAACGCACTCGTCGCCTATCGGAAAAATGGAGTCAAAAATCGAGTAGACCTGACTGGGCAGGCCAGATGGCTTATACCTGCTGATTGTCTCCAATTGTAGTACGTCCACGAGACGAATACGGTAGACACTGTTAGGGAAGCTGGCACCTCCGAACGTTTAGCCGATTGTATTGCTTCTGTAGTAGAAGGCAAAAGATAAAGTGACTAGACTACTCTGTTTCCAATTCCACTTATCGCTACAGCGAGCAGGACAGCCTCCTGGCACTGCCAGAGGCTCGAGTCTAGTAGTTGCAAACTGCAACGGCAAGGACTGCCAGCTGGTAATGAATGCAATTTGCATTCACTCCAAAGTGCAATGGGGGCAAGGCTTTCAACCTAAGCCCCACGCTACACTAATTTGAAGACCAACATTGGACGGTGATCGAACCATCACCAACAGACCCTGAGTATTCCTGCATCGCTCGCACGTATTACCAACTGACAGTCAAAAACACTGGGTTGGCACTTACTGATCAGCATGAGTCCATTCACGAAGTGATGATGAAGTGTATCGCAAAAAAGTCGCGTCAGTATTTGCAGTTCATGCAGAATGCGCTTTTGGATCTAGTAATAGATCCGTAACCAGAGCCAGTTGCTTCAGACAGGTTGATATAAATATAGCGCCAGGGTTGGTACACTAGTTGTGTGATTAAGGTGAAGATGGTTCAGCTCGCCGAGGTTCGTAGCAGCCATATTAGAGGCAACAACGAGAAGGTCGAACACTTCACGAAACGCGGCGTTGACAACTAAGTTAACATGTAGATATACGGACATTTCGAAGGAGATGAGGTCCTGAAGA